GTTGATTTGGTTTTAGTTTGGTCATTAGCTCTGTGTTAGGTCTTATTCCTCTGGCCTCCACCTGCCTCTCCAGTGTGACTGACGGTAAGCTTTCTCCCCGTGAGCCCTTCCTCAGCTCCTCTGTGCGCCAACACAGCCTCCCCACTCGCCCCTCTAGCCCACACCACATTGGCCCAACTGACAGCTACCCATTGTTGGTGTGTCTGTTTACCCTTCACTTCTCAGGGAAGTCTTCCCTGAGGCCACACCCCAGGGGAGGTCTCCTGGGTCTGCACTCTCCCAGCCCCCTGCTGTAGCCTCTGGTTCTCCATGGAAACACTCATCCCCTTTCCCATATTTATTGTTCACGCTGCCCTTCCTGGTGAAGAGAAGCCCCGTGAGTACCCGGGCCTGACGTGGGCACAGCTCCATCACCAGAACTCCATCTAGCATAGGGAAGACAACAGTTGAGGCCATGTGTTTGAGGTTTTACTACTCAACTCAGTACTTCAAGTTACATTAGTTAATTAGGAGCAAATTGGTACATTGTGCCCACTGTGCTGATACTCCTGTCACCAAACTAATGGTGACCTGCGCCCTTCTGGGGACTCTTTAGAACACCAGAATATTAGAGCCTGGCAAAGAGAGATATGATACATTTTCTCATTTACACCCCCACCACTAATAATTACTTTTTCTTAGTCTCTTTCCACCTTTAACTGTGAAATAGGCTTTAAAGTTCAAATGAGAGAGTAGTTGAATGAACAGTATATGAAATAAAGAACAATAGTATTAGCCTAACAACAACTCATAGAGGTAATTCATGAGCATTAACTAGTTTGCATGCTTTATCAAGGACATGCATATACACAAATGAAATTTCTTCCTAAATTATTTCCTATAGACTGGAAGTGGTGAGAAACGATATGAAAAGGGAGGATGTTGCAATAGATATACATTAATAAAGCAAACAGTTGAGGTCATACTACTCACTTTACTTTAATATTGGTAATGATTACAAATATTGGAACAATGCATTAAGTACTTACAATAATTATGTAAGTAGCCAAAAGGAATTTTGAAGAGGTTAATAATTTCCCATCCCTGTTCAAAGTATATTAAACATTGATTGATCAGTAGACTTAAGGTATGAATCAATCGGCAGTCTCCTAGGTGGGAGCTCTAAACTGAGAATCCGAGGGAATGATGTGGATTTACACATCTCTGAAAACGGTGCAATAAATATTGTATACGAATTATTGCTGTTTTTCAAGAGACAAGTTTCAAGAAATGACTAAGATAGAAAATGCTTCAGGCAAGTCAGTGCAATGTATGGAAAATTCAGGAAAGGTCACAATAAGTTCATTAATAACAAAGGAAATATAAATAAGTGGTTTTAAGTAAGATTAACAAGGATTTTTACTGTAAATGTAACGTGTAGATATATATGTGTGTGTGTATATATACATATATAGAGAACTGCATTTAATGAATTCAAAAATATGTCTCCACTAGCTAACTAGAACACAATGTAGCATAATATCACTTTTAACTCCACTCTGGGTTTCCTGTTTTGGCAGATTCACCTCATTGAGGCATTGTGGGAGAATCAGAGTCATTTCTATAGCATTCATGAGGTCTCCAATGGGGACATCCCTTACAAAGAAAGGCAGAACGATCATAGGTAAATACAGTCAGTGAAGGGGGAAATCCACAGGAAAACAATTTTTTACCGATAAATCCTCTTTGCATTTAATATCTCTTACCCTATGTGAGTGGCTTCTCAATAGGATACAGGGAATTAGGAGATACAATAGCAACTTATTGATGTCCATAAGCAGAATGGTCTCTCCCCTTTCCCGGGGAGCCCAATGTGCCAGAAGCTCTCAAAAGACACTCAGCTGCTAATTCCAAAAATAACCTAAACATATTCGTGTCACCTGAAATCTGAGACTTCCTATATTGACAATGCTATAAAAGGAATATAAGGTAAGTCAGTAAAACAGATATACCAAAACTATGCCTAAGTTCAATAGAAACAGAAGAAACAAAAATAGAATTTTCCAAAGAGAAATAAAGATAAAAATAACAGATAAAAAAAGATAGCTGTAGATCTGAGAATTTTATTGTGGTAAATTGAATTTTGGGCCCCAGTTATTTGCCCCTCCTTGTGCCCATGCTTTCTTTCACCATATAGCTTTCCTGTTTCTCTTAAAAAGAGAGAAAGATTTCCCCACTCCTTGGGACACAACCTAAAACTTGGTTTGGCCAATGGAATGTGGACAAAAGGGTCTGTGAGTTATGCACTGTGGTTTCTGTTTGCCTTCTTGCTCTTTCGCCATTGCCACAAGAAGAATGTGAGCGACACATGAGGCAGAGCTGGGTCCATCTCACAGAGACACCTGGCCAGAACTGCACCCAGAAGAAAAGCCACCCAGGCAAGTCCAGCCTCGGTTGGCTATCCCCTACCTGGTGTATGTGCATAGAATGAATAAATGCCTCTGTTTGAATGGCACTGAGATTTTGTGGTTATTTGTTACACAGCATTATTCTGACAATAGCCAAGTGATACACTTACAAAACATTAAAATGAGAAAAAGGGTATGCTTTTCCCTTAGGAATCTGACAAAATATTTCTCTCTTCCCAAGACTGATTGTTCACTCATTTACGAGGAAAGTCGGCAAATTCACATCTGATTGATCTAGAGAGTGTTACATCCAATGAGTTCCTTCTAGGTTGGCCGCTGACTCACTTTTCTCCTTACTATACTAACAATTGTATTAACTTTCAAATGTTTACCCTTTCCTCTCATGTGTTGGGGATATTAATGACTGTAACCTCATCTGTAAACTTGTAGAATTAAATTACACCAGTAATGTTCTTGAATGTTCTTGGGGTCCCATGGTTCCAATCAGGTGTTTGGAGGAGACAGCATGATGGAAGCAGAGGAGGAAAGCTAAACGGCTGGATGCTAACCTTGCACCAGCAAAACTCTGCTCTGCCTTAGATCTTGAGAATATTGAGATTTCGCTTGGAAAATCAGTTCCCCTGCTTAAAAAGTAGAATCAAAACGACTAGCCAAAAGGTTTTTTGATGTCTCCTCACACTGAAAACACTGTACTTAAGTGTTTTGTTTTAGCCGCTCCTGTCTAATCATCACTATTGCCATGAACCCAAACTCAACTCAACTCCCGTCACAACTTCCTGACATGACTCCCTGCGTTAAGTTATAAATTATGCCACTTCACTCCCCTGCATCAAGTTAGAGTAAAACCACCTCTGGTGGGGCCTTCAGGCTCTGCTTTCTCCAGTCTGACTTCCTGCCCCTTACCTCACCTGCCATATTGGCTCGAAACACACCCAGCTCAGAGTTTTCTCCCATGCTGGTCCCTCTGCTTGGAACACTCTTCCCCTACTCTTCATGTGTCAACTTCTTATTATGCTACAGTTTTCCACTGATAAGTCACCGGGCTTTCACCGATCACTCAAACTAATGTAGGTCCCATCTGCCTCCATTATTCTCCATGACAACCCATCTTTTGTGTCCTCTTCTTTGCACTCACCATGACTTTCGCTTACAGGAGCATTTGCTGGCTACTTTTATTATTTGACTTTCCATCAAGTACGAGCTCCATTATTTTTGCATTCCCAGGACCCAAAGCATTGCCTGGCACATGATATATGCTCAGTCATATGAATGAGTAAGTGACTTTCTTAGCTTTTATCAACAGGCCTTTTTCTCACTACCACCTGCCTACACCATTTAGTATTTCCCTGTTAATACATGGTCCCAGTCTCTGACATGCTCACACCTGCTCTCTCTCTTACCTTCCTTAATTCATGTACAGTGTTCCTTATACCCCTGTATGTCAGAATTTTCTCTTTCAACTTGCTTTATTCTTACCTTATCCTTTTCATACCGATGGCCACAATCAGATCTGTTCTGGGACATTATTATCAAGCTGATCCTGAATCTTAAAATTAGATTATACCTAGAATGAACTTAACAATAACAGTTATTCAATAAATGTGATCTGCTACCTAGAGAAGTAAATGCTCTATGCTGTTTTTCTGAGGTGGGGGAGGGCTTTGGGGAATGCCCAAATTTCAAGCATGGTAACCAGCATATAGTTTCAAGTAAGCAATGACCAAAGTCCTAACTAATTTCCTTATCTTTTGTTAGAAAAAGAGACAGAAATAAATGTCTGGTTTGTGTATAGGCTAGGAAACAGGGACCTGATGAACAAGAATGTGGTGTGTTTTCCCAGTAGTGCCCTGAGCAGAGATAACAGATCTGAGGAATGATAACATTATGATCATTAGAGAAGTGAAGTCTGTGGGGGGCGGTAGGTTGGTCATGAGCTCTCACGACACTTTGGATGCTCTCAGAGTAGGCACGAGGCTTCTGGCTTCCAGAAAGAGAACTCTCCCAGAAGTGAAAAAGTTGGCATTTTGGCTTAGACCAAAATGTCTCAGTGCGTTTGTTTGGTATGAGTCAAGTTAGAAAAATTCAATGTATTCTGAGTGAAGTGAAAACATTTAGTTTCCTTATCTACAAAGCTGAGATCCGTACTGTCAACCATAGTCCAGAAGGAAAGTGCCCTGGCCAGCAGTCAGTAGCTTTCCCAGATACCACCTCAATGATGCCTGGCTTCCGTCCTCATTCATGTATGGGCCACGTGTCATTTCATAATAGGTGCCACACCTACGGTTATTTATCTCTGGCAATTACATTATGTACTTCTGTGAGCACAAGATGACACAAAATGGAGTCAGATAATATGAGCATTTTGGGTCACCAGGGCAATCGGGCATTATTCGAGCCAAGACACAATTCTGTAGCTTTGGCACATGCTCGTGGGTGTGACGAAACTAGGGGTTTCCCTTTTATCCAAATGAAGAAGTTGGATAATGTCTCGACAAACCATTTGGGGGATCATCAACTACCTGCAGCGATCAGCACAGGGAATAATTCAGGAAGGAAGGAAGGGATTAAGGAAAATGACAAAAATTTTCAAACCTGGCACTGATATCTTCCCCACGGTTGGATGCTTCATCTCCATAATGAGGCCATTGTGTAACACCTTTAAATGTAAAAACAGACAGAAAAATAAATTACAAAATAAAACTATTTAATCTGAGGGAGTTCGAAAAGCCACCTATTCGGTCCACTGAAAAGAAGATCTCGCAAACACAGAACTGTTTGGAATTTTAATTTGGAAGTGAATATTTTAAATAAAAATATTTCCATCTTCTATGAAACGAAGTGAAGCCAAAAAGAATTAGAAGGTTCCAGGACTAGCAAACTACATTTTTTAATAAAGTCTTCCCATCCTGAAAAATGTTATTTGCTCCTAACTATAGGGTATGAGTTTCCCCCTTTCATCTATGTTTGATCCTCTAAATACTAAAGCTCAGCCTCTTCCTGCATTACCTCATTGCAGGACACACGGCCAAAGTCAACTGCAGGAGGACAGAATGGGAGAAGAACCAGGACCTGGAACAGAGCAGCCCACGGGGGTAGTACATGTGCTCCTGGCAATTTATGCAGTGGAAGGTGTGGGGAGACAGTCCAGTTTGAAAGGTGAATCAGAGTAACTAGGAGGCCCAGTGGCTGGTGGAAGTGGACAGACTCAGGGCTGCTGTGACCAGCAATAAGCAGATCCAGGAGCCCAGAGTGGACTCAGGTCAAATGCTTGAACAGGAGATGGAAACCAGACATGTTTTCAGTGGTAACAAGACCATAACTATCAGACTTGATCTCAGAACGAGGAGTTGGTGTGGAGCTGGCAAGGAGAAACGTGAGGAAAAAAAGAAAATAAAAACAGAGACCCCATCCTAGAGGGCTGGTTAGGTTTCCATGCACTGGGACCAAGATAGGTATTTGGCGTCCCATCAAGAGCACAAGGTAGACTTGACCTCGGGGTTAAGACTCAAGGCCAGTTACTAGGACAGGGACATTCTATCAGGACCTGGGCGGCAGAAATGTGACTTGATGTTGAATTGCTTGATTACTGATTACCTAAATCCTTGGTTTCATTTTTCCTATGGGGTGGGTAGGAATACAGAATCCGCCAGGGATCGAGGGTGCTCTAACTACAGGTAGAGGACGAGATGAGGGCATGGAACTAGATTCTAGAACCTAAAATTTGAATTACGGGAAGCAAAACATTTGGCCAAACACAAATGAAAATGCTACAAAGTTGGTTTCCTTTGTTTATTTGTTTTTTTAACAACTGGAGGCTACCTGGGTATACTGTCTCAAAGAACCCCAAAATTCAATTTACTATTTCTATTACTGAATGTTCACTTAGACATATAAGGGCAACTTATGCATGAATTTACTTCACCTGTACTGCCTACCAAATGGAGAGCTTCTCTCTTCCTGTTTTGTAAGGGATCTAAAGGGCAGAAGTATTTCAGGGGCACAAAAAACTTATGGACCAGGATTTCATGCTAATATCCCAAACAGCAGCAGTTGTAATGGTTCTATAGGATTTTGAGCTGCAGGTAAAAACAAGATCTGCATATCCATACCCTCATCATAGTCTTTTCACACAGAGTTAAAAGAGCATGGAATAAATAAACTAATAAAAATGTTTTCTCACTTGGATAACCCAGGGAAAGAGGTCAAATTTCTTGGGCTCTATCCATTTCCAGTGAGCTTTTTGGTCACGTTATGGAATAAGCCAATAAGACAACCTCACAGGTGACATTTTAAGGTTAGAGGTATAACTCTGCTTTGTCTCAATATTCTGGGGCGCCTCTGTTTTCTTCGGGAACGGTCACCACCTTTGGGGTGATGCTCTTTAAACAACCATGTCAACCCCCCTCAGAGAGGGTGATGCCACACCATATGGAGATCCTTTCTAGGGATGCCTTGCCTCTCTTTTGGAATCACCAGCTTTGCACCCAGGAGCTGGCCAGAGAAAATTCTTGCCAGTGTTAGAACTGAGCTATAATTTAACTCTGGTGTGGCTCGTTCTCAGCACCCGCCCAGCACAGCCTCCTCCTATGTGGGGGCGGGGGCTAAATGCCAAGGCGAGGTGCTAAATCTCAGTTCTACTGAGGACAGGAACAAAAATACCAAGCTAAATTTCACTCGAAACAATTATCTGCACACTGAATCATTCTTCTCTTCTCATATCTGTTGCCCTCCTGACTACCTCTTTGTAATAACACTGCAGTGCTACTCACAAAAGACAAAAGTGAGTGTTCTTAGCTAAATATAACTTAACTGATACTGTTGAAATTAATTAACGCTGAATTTTAATCGTGGAGGAAACGTTAAGTGTCAAACGTGAAAGGGTAGTTGCTAAAGGTCAAGGGACATATGTCAAAGTTTTGTGAAGCAAAAGCTCGCAGCTGACTGAAGTTTTTCAGGGAAGCAGCTTAAAGAATGTACTTCCTTCGGCCCTACCCTCATTACTGTCTCTATATGATCTTCCCAACATGAAACTTTTTAATCCAGCCTCCTCACTTCCCTCGCATCGAAAATCATTCAGTTTCAGGCAGAAATATAAACTGGTCTCATGCTTGGCACAGGAGGTTAATTGCCGTTTTTTCATTTGCTGTAGCATTTGTACAATTATGAAATAAATGGGCTAGCCGGTGCCCCCATCTTCAGAAAGCACGGACTTATTCCCCTGCTTGGTCACCACCCACCTTTTTACCGAAAATCTGAAGTCAATACAATTCCATAGGCTTCCTTCGTGAATCAGGTCAGATTATCTTGCGGAACAATTGAAGCTGGAGCTCTGCTGTCCCTGGAAACCCTGCCTAATGACTCGGAATCTTGGAAAACTCTCCAGCCTTGTTTGTGGGGCGAGTCCTGCTCTGCTTAGTAACATCTTCGAGAATCTCAGAACCCAGGCAGTCTGTCTGAATTTTAGCATAAATCTCTCCTGCTGCACTTCGAGCGTATTGTCTTCCCTAACTTCATTGGAAACGGAAGACCTTGGCGTTCACCAACATTTGTGTAACATTTCTTTGGGAATGGTTACTAAATGTTCTCCATTCCTTTTCTCACCCGGGCTCAACACCCCAAGCCCTAGAAATTCAGATGGAAAGCGTTTCATTTTCTGAACGCTCACAATGAAATGGGGACCTCAGCTCTAGGGACCTCCGACACCATTTTCTCTTAAGGCAATGTCATGCCTGGAACCCCTCAGCCCGGCCATTTGGGGCATCTGGGGTACGCATTTAGTTATTTTTAAATGAGGCAAGGAAACTGCCCTAGACTTTGCAGTGGATGTTGTCCTTCTTTTCCTTATTTTATTCTCCCTAGATCTCTCATGGTGGGGTAGCTCTTCTAAATTTCATTTCTTCTCCTTATAATTTCAAAAGCCTATTCCTGACAAGAATAGAATTGTAGAGAGTGCAACAACCTCTTTAGCAAAGTATCAGGCCGATTTAAAATAAGGTCTTTCTTTCTTCTTCAAGAGTTTCACGGATTGACAGCCTAATGACAGAGTCAAATGGTACTGTATTAATGAAGGGGGGTAGGGGGAAGAGTAAAATGTATACCTTAAAGTGATGCGGGAAATAAAAGTTTAAGTGAAAGTAGGAAAAGTCTTTTGATAAAGTCCTAGGGCAGGAATGGCAAACCAAGTCTATAGTACAGCACTAGCAAGAAAAGAAATGTAAAAAATAAAAAATCGATACCCACTCTATAGGTGGTGAAAATCTCTAAGGAAAGCAAGAGCTCTGGGTCAAGAGTAGAAGTAGCAAAGCATACACAAAGGAAAAGAGACAGACTGCCGGCATTAAGTGACATACACAAATGGTATGTGTAAAGACCGTATTAAAAATCAGTATAATACCACCAATGACATTAAGCATGTTGCACAACAGAGAACTGACCTAACCACTAACTATGAATAGAGACATGACCTATTCATTCCATTGAACAAACATCATAGAGCACCTATATATTAGCCGATAGGAAGGGGCTGACTGTAAAAAAATGAATGAATTTGCATTCAAAGTGCCTGTAATTAGAAGGGAGGGTTGGGAATAAGAGACCTGAGCCAATTTTTAGAGCAGTTTAAGCTCCACATGAAGGAGCAAAATCCAGTAAGTAACAAGTAAGTAACTTGGTCTACCTTGGAAGGAAGCTGCAGGACCTAGGTCAAGGAGTTCAGTAAAAGGCATAGCACAAAGATAGTATCAAAATAAAACATCAGGTTAGCAATCGCAAGGATAAATATAATACCAGCAGCCATTGTCCAACAAAACTCCTTAAGAATTTTGTGAAGCAAAAGCTCACAGTTGACTGAGTCAGGCATTGTGTTAAAAGGGAAAGAGCTGTCTCCGCCCAATCCTCTCATTAACTAGACCAGGTAGGAATTACTCTCATCTGCATTTCTACTGATAAGGTGATGGAAGCCTAAAGAGGTCGAGAACTTGCCCAAGGTTCACAGTTAATAAATGGTTGACTTTGGATTATAATCAAGGTGTGCCTGACCCTAACCTCTCAGCCAGTTGGAGACTCAGTAACTAAGAATAAAAAAAAAGTCAAGCATAATTTGATTTACCATTAAAATAACTAGCTGATGTGGTCAATTCTGTAAAACAAATTAGTCAATTCACTGGGGAAAGAAAATCAGCCAAACGGATTGCTTGGCATCGTGTGGCCCAATTAGTTAATAAACTGAACTGCTCCCTTGTAGGGAGCCAAGTCTACCACAGATACAAAGGCAGTGAAAAGAGGAAGGATTTTGGCCCCAGCCTGGCTCAGATTTTGAAGGGGACAGACCCAGCAGGTGACCTTGGGCAAGGCACTTAGGTACTATGAGGCTCAGAATCCTCCTCAGTAAAAAGGTAGCAATAATATCTCTTTCTCAGGAGTTCGTAAGGATTAAGTAAGATACAAGTATAAAACGGTGAGCACAGCACCTTGGACAGAGTAAACTCAAAATTAATGGCAACTAATTATCATTATCAGTAGACTTGGTTCAAACTCTGGCTCCACCAAGGACAAGCTGTAGGGCCTTAAGGTACATTCATTCATGTGACAAACATATATTAAACATATTAACAGTAATGATTCATAATCAATAATAAGCACTAAATGCATATTAAT